ATTAGTTCCATTTCATCCTCAAGCGAATTTTGGAGTAACTTTTAAAATTACTGGGTTTTAAAGACACAGTTAAAATCATATATATAAATATATATATATATATATATATATATATATATATATATATAACACAATTTTGATCCCAAGACACAACGACATATTGGCAAAATACAACAGAATTTAAACAAACAAATATGTCGGTACCTTTTTAACAGAACATGGTATATATATTTTAATAGAACATTGTTATATATATATATATATATATATATATATATATATATTAAATTACAAGACCTTGCAGCCAAATAGGGATATAACACCAGCACATTCCGGAAAACCTCGTGGAACGACAACCATTATAACCCTAGGACAGGATAGCTCATCTTAAAACCGAAATCCAACAATACACGGATACTCTAAAAACCACAATTGGCTTAACAGAATAACTATCTACTGAATGGTACCTCCCCCACGTCAACAGTACGTTAGAATGTGACCCAAAAGGCAGTATTGCCAAAAAAACAGTCTGCGACCTAAACAACAGAAAGATTATATTAGCCAATAGTAAGTGTAACTTCTTAAACTTGTTTGATCTCGAGCAAATTGATGAACAAGCCGAATTACTGAATATCGGCCCAAATTTTCACCTTCAATATAGATATGACCCTTTTCAAAAGAAAACGGATATTGAAATACTATGCCAATCTATCCAACAACTCACAAAAGAAAAATAAATTAAGGTACGTCCAAATGTAAGACCTAAAAGCCGAAGGCTTAAAAACCGTTCACCACACAGTGAACATAACAACATCCTTACATACAAACTAAAGTCGGCGGAGAGAGAGTTACGCAACAAATCCAATATCGTTATTAGACGCGCAGATAAAAACAGACAGGATTATAACAAGAAGTTACAATGCACCCTAGATAACACAACGAAATTCACCAGATTAAGTAAAAACTCCATAGACATATTTAACAAAAAAAAATGTAATTAAATTAATCTCAGCAAACAACGCTAGTGTTGATAGCTTAAAACCCAAGAAAATAGGTGATTACCAACCGTGATATATATATATATATATATATATATATATATATATGGTAATGTAAATCCCATCAACTAGGTTTTCTTCTGCGATCTATCATATCCAAATACCTTCACTCGTATATCAACTATCAAAAACCCTCACAACTACAGCATAGTATTAACTAATGACTTTATTCTACACCTTTAGGACAACAAATCTCATAGGAAATACTCTGACCTCCTTGGACGCCGAAAGTCTCTTTACCAACATTTCAGTTGAGGAAACAATCAACGCAATTAGCGACTGTGTCTAGAAACACCCGCAATAACCACCACAAAAAAAAAATCCAACTCGTTATCCTCCAGAAACTACTACTCATTCGACGACCATAAATGCAATGCATATGTCCAAATTAACGGTGTTATCATGGGAAACCCTTTCGGTCATACTTTCGCTCACTTTTACATATCCTACATTGAAGTATTTGAAACCTGAAATCTACACAATTTACGTCGATTGCATTTTTGTTTTAATAAAAAAAAAAATAAAGATGAAATCGCTAACCTAAAATCAACTTTTTGAGAAAAAAAACTAAACGCTAAAATTCACATATTAACATATGGTACATTACAAGATCTCACTACTTGATGTTGAGATAGAACTAAAATCCAACGAATTTACCGCTCACCCGTATAAAAAAAAGACACTCTTGTTTTCAAAACTATGATAGCCAATGCCCAGAAAGATATAAAATAGCAGTGATAACAAACTTCTTAAACACAACATACAAAAATTCCTCTTCCTAAAAGATATTTCGTACAAACCTGAAACGCATAAAACAAACACTAGTCAACAATAATTATCGCAAATACATCATTGATAAATATATAAAATAATTCTTACAAAAAATACACGACACCAGTAATAAAAATACAACACCACAAAACATCAACATACTTTATTGCAAACAGATGCACAATAACTATATGCAAGACGAATTTGCTATGAGGAAAATGTAACCCCCGATAAACATATAAAGTTTATAATATATTATAGAATATGGAAGACCGGAAACGTCGTCGACACTAAGCAAAATAACCCCACCAAATCTAAACTAGCGGTGACCAATATAGTGTAACAATTTCAATGCCTAGTACAAGACTGTGTTACTTGTCAAAAGCTAATTACCTATATCGGGTGCACCACTACCTCCTTAAGTAGACGCCATACATGCCACCAAGCAAAGCATTCATTCGATGTATTCATTAACCCACAATTTACAACCTTTAGGAAAGATTTTAGTCAGTAGCGCAAAAATTCTTTTCAAATCACCTAGTCGTACATATCTCATTATTAGGGAAGCATTATTGATTAAATACTGGTCCCCTGCTATCAATCTTACACAGTTTAGCAATGGAAACGGTATGTTAAAGGTTTTCTAAAAATAGAAGTGATGCTCAGGTCAACCAGTCCCGCATAACACGTAACCACCGAAAAGGCATACACTACTTCGCTGATCTGCACACAGCTAAACTACAATGCAGAAGACAACACATGAAACTCACCATACAAAACAACATTCTTAATAATGACTATAGAACTAGCCGAAAGCGCTCGGGACAATTATAGCTATGGACAATTTTTACATTCTTTAACTCCTGAAAAATGGAAAAATGTTAGAATGCTGGTAAAACTCAATAAAAGATTAATTAAAACATCTTTGTCGGCCTTTTTCAATGAAATGATGCGTGAAAGAAAAGTTGCTGTCCAAATATATATCAATATATGTATATGGAGAAATATAGTTTTAAGGTGTGCTATATTTATGTGATAAAGTGCTCAATATCAGAGATAAAGCGTATGTAAATATATATATAAAGGTGAACACTGAAGTCAACACTCAGAGGCGACAAGCTGTTTCTATGCTAGACTCAATCGTCGGCCTGACGATTGCGTAGCATGAAACAGCCTGTCGCCTCTGAGTGTTTACTTCAAACCTTCATATATATATATATATATATATATATATATATATATATATATATGTTTGGTTTGTTAAAAGCAGCGGCATGGTTTGCTTGTTCAATTTTTATTGTATTTTGCCAATTTTCGAATATGCCATTGTATAATGAGATCAAAATTTTGAATAAACTGTCTGTTTGTTTTATTGTTTTGTTCAAGTATTTCCACTGTCTCAGTCATTTTCAAGAACCAATGCAGTGTCTGAGTTATAAGCAGAATTCCTTTGTCCACTTGTATTCTTTTAAAAAATATAAACGAGCGTTGTTGATTCTTTAATGAAATTTTTGATAAATACTTCCTGCTTTAATATACCTTATCCATACCGACACACACACCCACGCATCCACACACACACATACACACACACACACACACACACACACATACATATATATGTCCATTATCCATTATATATATATATATATATATATATATATATATATATATATGATAATGGACTGTCGGTTTCGACGTATGAGGATCTGACAAATTAATTGATTCAGTTATGAAATTTTGTGTGATAATCTTCAGTGGCACTTAAGAGACGCTAGTGATTTACAAAGGAGGCCACATATGGAGCAAAAGTAAGGATTGTGAGATGAGATCACTGTTAGATTGGCTGACCTTTTAGATCTTGCTCTCGCTTCTTGAAGACGATTCAGTCGAGCTAATTGAAAATTGCTGAGTCCACTAAGACATGTTGATCTCCATCCTACCTGCTCTAAGGCTAAGCGATCGTGGGGGCTATGAGGTATATTGGCAGCTGACAAGTAGATAGATAGATAGATAGATAGATAGATAGATAGATAGATAGATAGATAGATTCTTGCCTAAAAACGAATCTGATATTTGTTCTTTTAGTCTGATCTTGAGAAATGTGTCGTGCTGAGAACTTTTCAGTATGTCCGTGTGTAGATAGATAGATAGATAGATAGATAGATAGATAGATAGATAGATAGATAGATAGATAGATATGTACATATGTATGCATGAAAAATAATATGAATTTACTAAAAAGTTATCGCAAATTCATGCTGTGTTGTGGTGGCTATAAGAAGAATCATTGTTTTCCAGTCCAAACAAGAACGGACGTATGATGGAAAAAACATCTTTTATTCCACAAAATGTCGTTATTTCTTTGAACAATGCAGCAAAATAAACATGATCAATAATCTAACAAGTTTACTGCTTTCCTTAATGAGTATGGAAGAAACCTATTTAACGTCAATGTTCTTTGCTTGCTTGCGGTTACTTTATGAGACTTGAAAGAGAAAAATGTCGAAAAAATAAACGAACGGATACAGAGGAAGAAAGCAATGACAAGAGAAAAATACGCTGGAGAAAATGAAACCAGCAAATAAAATGTATTATGAAAAAGATATAAAATAAACATTACTTGAAAGAAAAAAAAAATCTTCTTCTCCCAAAGGGACAACGTATTTGATAAAGGAGAGAAGGCTCAGTGAGTAAAAGAGATAAACACTATTGAGAAGCAAATATCGACAATTATTGAACAAAAATGATAGAAGGTGAAGCAGAATAGTGAAGAAGAAGAAGAAGAAGAAGAAGGGGGAGGAGGAAGAGGAGGAAGAGGAGGAAGAGAAGGAAGGGATAAAAGAAAAAGAAATAAAGAGAATAGTAAAATAAGGAAAAGAATGTAACGAATTTAAAAAGGAACAAATAATATGAGGAAAGACAGAAAATGAATTATAGAAAGAAAAATAAAGAAAGATTGCAAAGAAATGAAGATGGAATAAACAGTTCGAAGAAAGAAAAAAAGAAAAAAATTGTTCATCGAATTAAAGAATTAATAAATAGTAGAAAGAAAGAAAGAAAGAAAGAAAGAAAGAGAGAGAGAGAGAGAATGCAACGAATTAAAGAATGAATTAATAGTACGAACAAAGAAAGAAAGAAAGAAAATAGTACGACGATTTAAAAAATGAATTAAATAAGATGTAGGAAGAAAGAAAGAAAGAAAGAAAGAAAGAAAGAAAGAAAGAAAGAAAGAAAGAAAATTAAAGAAAGAAAGAAAGAAAGAGAGAGAGAATGCAACGAATTAAAGAATGAATTAATAGTACGAACAAAGAAAGAAAGAAAGAAAGAAAGAAAGAAAGAAAGAAAATAGTACGACGATTTAAAAAATGAATTAAATAAGATGTAGAAAGAAAGAAAAAAAGAAAGAAAGAAAAATAAAGAAAGAAAGAAAGAAAGAAAGAAAAAGAAAGAAAGAAAGAAAGAATTAAAAAATATATAATATTTATGTGCCAAGAAGAGAGAATAAAAATGAAAGAAAGGTGTCCATCGAATTGAAGAATTAATAAATAATACGAAGAAAGAAACAAAGAAAGAAAGAAACAAACAAAGAAAGAAACAAAGAAAGAAACAAAGAAAGAAAAAGGTAAAAGAGTGCAACAAAAATAAAAAAATAAATAGTTTAAACAAAGAATGATAGAAAAGAAAAAATAAGAAAGAAAAATGAAAGAAAAAAGTACAATGAATTAATAAAATAAATCGTACGAACAAACAAACAAAGAAAGAAAGAAAGAAAGGAAGAAAGAAAAATTGAGGATATAAAAAATTAAGCCTGAATGAATAAAACAAAAAAGAAAAGATGGTGCATAAAAAGAATGGGAAACAGAAATAACAGTTGTGCAATAAAAAAACAAAACAAACGAATAACTGAATAAGAAAAACAATAATGTATATCGAAAATTGTTTCCCAACCCGTCGTCGAATGAAGAAGCGAAGAAAAGCATTTCCCTCGATGAAGTACTAGATAGGAAGAATTGCTGTATGAATGAATCAAAAAAACAAGATAAAACATCTAATAAACACAAATAAGATGATGAAACAGTTCAGATTCTCTCCACCCAAACTGTTTTCTATTCCGAATAATATTTACAAACCACCGAATGCGTTTCAGTAAAAATCTCATTTGTTCCAACCACTGCAGCAAAGTCTTAATATATAAGGCCAATGAAAATGTCGAAAATTCGTTTTATTGTAAAAGTTGATTGCAAGGCACACAAGAGCCTAGCTGAATGATGTATCGGCGCCCTCCACAGAAAAGCGGCAACACTTGACCAAAGCAACGATGAAAAAGATAAACAGCAGAGAAAATATATATTTCTAAGGGGTGGGGGTAAAATTTAATAAAGTATTCACAACTGTGTTTGTGTCAAAGGAAGGAAATATAAAACATTTGATAAAGAACGATTAAAATGCAAACAAATATAGGCAGGCATTTTAAAATATATTATGAAAGGTAAATAGAATCATGTGCAGACGAAAATTGGTCGTATCCTCCAAAAATGACACACAGCAATTGTTCAAAAGGTAGTAGCGCTCGGTATCAACATTTCTGAATAACATAATATTACGAATTTCCAATTCATATGCTGTAACTGTATATGGGTGGATCAATAATTTCGTAACCTTATACAGGTATCGGATTTTGATCTGAAATGTTCATTGTATAATGTCGGCTCTATATCATCTCCGGAGAAGTACATTGATAATGAAAAAGATTATGTTGAAAAATAAATATTTGCGGAAAATAAATAATTTTATCATTAGTCTGCCTATTTGATTTGTGTTTGATTTGGATTTCACAGCATATCAATCCTTACTGAATCATTCAATGTTGAAATTATGTTTATTATATCCCTTAAGTAAATATTAGTCGTGTTTATTATAGTTGAATCTGTAATTAATCATGATTGAGTTTATTAATATTGAGACCATAGTTAAACATTAGCCGTGCTTGCTTGAATTTGCAAGCATCCATCCGGGAACTGGTCTCTTTGCTGGGTAATCTTATCCCCACGACAGATGATACAGCCCACGTATGGTAGGCCGGGCCGTCAGGATGGAGCCGGCGGATTTATCGATGTATTATATATATATATATATATATATATATATATATATATATATATATGGAGAGAGAGAGAGAGAAGGAGGAGAGGGAGAGAGATACATTGTGTTTTGCCAAAGACAATGGTCGACCCGGTTATTCCTGGAAGATAATACTTTTAAAACAAGCAGATTTTTTAATTATTGTATTCAATACAAAGTAATACCAAATAAAATTTCACTTCTCTTGTCCCTGCTCTGAGTTTTGAGGAAATTACATCTACCCGTCCGCTGACTTTATTATGAAATTACGCGACTCAGAGTGAGACAAAATAAGTGATTATATTTCATTATTACGATATATATATATATATATATATATATATATATATATCGTTACGAACTTGTAGCATATAGATGAACCACGGGTTTTAAAAAAAGGAAAACGTTGGATCTTTTCTCGGTCTTCACTCAGAAATGGAAGCGACACAAGGGAATCAACGAAGAACAGACACAAGACGATGGATTTCAAAATAAAGCATTTATTTATAAATATATATAACGAAATAAAGAAAGAAGAAAAAAAAAC